TGTCCCAGGATGCGACCCACACCAGTCAACTAACACCCAGGTACCCATTTTACTGATGGGTGAACATAAACAACCGGTGTAAGGAAACATGCCCAATGTTTCTACCCTCGCCGGGAATCGAACCCGGACCCCTCACCGTGTGAAGCGAGACCTTTTGCCACCAGGCCACGAGCCACCGTTGTTGGGCAGTTACATGTGAGCACGCAAATTCGCTTTGTAGTTATAACTGAAAAGTCCGTCACATAATTTTTATTCGCAAATTAATCACTGAGAAAAGAAGACTGATCCCCACAAAGAGTCATTAGGATATTACTTGTCAGAGAACTGGAGTGTAGGCGGGATGGCAGTCACAGCTGAGAGAGAGACAGACAGAGATTCACACCCACATATTCAGACTTGCGTAAGTTGTTCACAGGTAAGCTGTCTTACCCAACATGCCTATTGAGCGTCACATCAAAGACTGAGAGTCAAAGAGTTGTTGGCTCGAACTCTGCTGCCTCACCCATACATATGAAAAAGCATACATGCGTATTCATACATAAGTGCACATATATATGCACATACATGACATGACGCACGTACATACACTTGCACATTTTTAGATTTTGCTGCCTTAGGATTTAACGAGTGCCTCACACTATACCTTGAGTACATCGAGGAGGAGAAAGATAAGCCTATGGAATACCACTGTCAAATTAATATCCCTTTATATAGAAGACTAATATGGCCTTGTGGTCATCTATCAACAAAAGAGAAAGGAAGTATAATTGTTTATTTCACTCAGTTTTGAAAATACATTTATTTATTAATACGGTGCGTGGGAGAAATGAAGTAATGGTACGAAATTTCTGTACGGTATTTCTGGCAGGTACGAAAAACCCGTACGGTACCGCAGTCAGCCTTGTTGTTAAGCTCACTCGTAGGTTAAATATCTCCACTTTATGTTCAATATGATTAATAATGGAGAAAGCAAGACATGCGTGGGTATGACACATGCGTGGGTATGACACATGCGTGGGTATGACACATGGTGGGTATGACACATGCGTGGGTATGACACATGGTGGGTATGACACATGGTGGGAATGACACATGGTGGGTATGACACATGGTGGGAATGACACATGGTGGGTATGACACATGGTGGGTATGACACATGGTGGGTATGACACATGGTGGGTATGATACATGGTGGGTATGACACATGGTGGGTATGATACATGGTGGGTATGACACATGGTGGGTATGATACATAGTGGGTATGACACATGGTGGGTATGACACATGGTGGGTATGACACATGGTGGGTATGATACATGGTGGGTATGACACATGGTGGGTATGACACATGGTGGGTATGATACATGGTGGGTATGACACATGGTGGGTATGACACATGGTGGGTATGACACATGCGTGGGTATGACACATGGTGGGTATGACACATGGTGGGTATGACACATGGTGGGTATGACACATGGTGGGTATGACACATGGTGGGTATGATACATGGTGGGTATGACACATGGTGGGTATGACACATGGTGGGTATGACACATGGTGGGTATGATACATGGTGGGTATGATACATGGTGGGTATGACACATGGTGGGTATGACACATGGGTATGACACATGGTGGGTATGACACATGGTGCGTATGACACATGGTGGGTATGACACATGGGTATGACACAGTAGGTATGATACATGTGGTTGCACAGGGTGGTAATGAACACATGGTGGGAATGACACATGGTGGGTATGACACATGGTGGGTATGACACATGGTGGGTATGATACATGGTGGGTATGACACATGGTGGGTATGACACATGGTGGGTATGATACATGGTGGGTATGACACATGGTGGGTATGACACATGGTGGGTATGATACATGGTGGGTATGACACATGGTGGGTATGACACATGGTGGGTATGACACATGGTGCGTATGACACATGGTGGGTATGACACATGGGTATGACACATGGTGGGTATGATACATGGTGGGTATGACACATGGTGGGTATGACACATGGTGGGTATGACACATGGTGGGTATGACACATGGTGGGTATGATACATGGTGGGTATGACACATGGTGGGTATGACATATGGTGGGTATGATACATGGTGGGTATGACACATGGTGGGTATGATACATGGTGGGTATGACACATGGTGGGTATGATACATGGTGGGTATGACACATGGTGGGCATGACACATGGTGGGTATGATACATGGGTATGACACATGGTGGGTATGATACATGGTGGGTATGACACATGGTGGGTATGACACATGGGTATAACACATGGTGGGTATGATATATGGTGGGTATGATACATGGTGGGTATGACACATGGTGGGTATGACACATGGTGGGTATGACACATGGTGGGTATGACATATGGGTGTGTCTACATCAACATTAACATTAATTCCACCCGTTCTGTGACCTTTAGTAAACTGATGCAAAAACTTGAGGTGGCTGAGGCTGACAGCTGGCTGCTGACAGCTGGCTGCTGACAGCTGCTGTACGAGCTCTTCTCTGGTTAATGTTGTACATCAAGTGAACTGATTTTTCATATTTATTGTAAATGTCTGGCATGATAACTAAGAGATGTTTTCTACGCAGTGGAATATTTATTGCATATTATTTCTCATTTTATTTTCTAATTATTTCGTTTTATCATTATATCAAGGGAGAAGCGCTCAACTCGCAAGGGTGATGCAGCACCCGAGGAAAGGGAGGTAATTGATTTTGGTCACATGAAGAAGAGGGTAGTTTCAGTTCCTTGGTTTAATTAACAGCTCTTCACCAGCACCAAGGAGAGATATCGTTATGTTAAATGTTCAGTAGATAATGTTTCCGCTCGTGGAGATACATTACTGTAGGCTTGGATGGTGAGGTCATTAAGGCTGCATACAGCCTGTTTTCTGTCATTAAAAAATGCTTAAATCCCACAAAAGGGGTTAATGAGAATAAAAATAAACTCGGTATACTGTAAATACTAAGATATATATATCCCTCCACGTGTTATGCAATGTTGCTCTCAGTGCTCACACGCCAAGTATATTAAGTTGAATATATGAAGACTGCAGCCGGTTGCCGCAGTCCATAGAAACAGGGATAAATATTCAGAATTTATATATCCCTATTTTCACTGGGCTACCTCGCTGCCAGATGTATCACGAGTGGTTTATATAATTTATTTAGCAGTAGTTAAATATACATTTTTTCTAGGTTTATGTACACTTATCTAGTCTAACCTAACCAGGACTAAATTAGCTGAATTAAAAGGAAATAACATTTGAGGAAAATTAAGAATCGTTAAAAAAATGACGTTGAGCACCACGCCAAAACACTCAGTAAAATGAAAATGAGTTGACTGCAGTAGATAACCACCCTATAAATGATACAGAATTAGTTGACATTATTGGCATACTTTACAGAAGTCACCTGTAAAGTAAAAGGACACAAGTGCAACTAATGTGACATTTATTGTGGCAACGTTTCGCTCTCCAGGAGCTTTATCAAGCCATTACCGTAATGGCTTGATAAAGCTCCTGGAGAGCGAAACGTTGCCACAATAAATGTCACATTAGTTGCACTTGTGTCCTTTTACTTTACATATTGTCGGTAATTCTACCAACTTTATTACAGAAGTCACCTGGTTATGCGGAACATTTCGGGCAGTCTTAATATTATCTTATAACTCAGGTGGTCGGGCTGCGGCCCGAGTGCCAGGAATGGTTCAGACGAAACAGAGTTTTTGATACTTGGAGTTTACCTTGAAAGAGTTCCGGGGATCAACACCCCTGCGGCCCGGTCTGTGACCAGGCCTCATGGTGGATCAGGGCCTGATCAACCATGAGAGCCTCATACCAGCGAGAACACCAATCCTAAGATACCAGAGATTTTACCCTGACTTTCACCAGCACCTCTGCTACTCCCTCCTGCCATGGAACTGTAAACAGTACTCCAGTTTACCCAAAGAAGATTCACTGTACCTTTGTGATAGGGCTGCCCCTTCCAGGACTCTTAAATGGGATATCACTTGTACAGACTCCGAAACTCCCTCGGGGTCATTGACGGGTCACCATCTGGAAAGGATCAGTGTCATGACTTCATTCCTGGTCAATATATTATTATCATATCATCAAGTAGATCTGTTTGTGACTTGATAAAGCCCACTGTGTGCGACACGTTGTTAATAAATTTTCGCGTAATGCTGCATTTATGCCTCAATGTCCAGCGGAAAGTTTCCATTAATTAATACCCTGAACTAAACATACATGTCTATTTATGGCATCTCGTTGATATGACACTACCATTAAGTAATAGTTATAACAAGATGTTTGACGTAGCTGGGTGACTGATAGGATAATCTCTGTTTGACGCGCATTGAGGTCGTTGCTTTTAGGTTTTTTAGGTAAAAGAACACACATTCAAACAATGAGACACTGAACTGCGGCAGTGTTTTGCTATCCAGAAGCTTTATCAAGCAAACAGACGCAGTACAAGGACAAGGCTGGTGTATAACAAAGTGAGGTGAAAGAGTATAATCACTACAAAGCGTACTGGTCCATGCTAATGGTGGTGGTGGATGTAGTAGCAGTAGTAGTGGTAGTAGTAGTAGTATAGGAACAGTAATGGTAGTGGTAAGAGCAATAGTAGTAGTAGTAGGAGGAGTCGTGGGAACAGTAGTAGTAGTAGTAGTAGCAGCAGCAGCAGCAACTGCAGTGGTAGCAGTAGTAGTAGCAGTGATAATAATAATAGTAGCAGCAGTAAGCAGCAGTAATAGCAGTGGTAGTAGTAGTATTTGTAGTAGTAGTAGCAGTAGTGGGTTTCTTTAGTGTACCTGGATCCCAATCCGTTTTCTGCACGTCAGTAAATGATTTCAGCAATAGATGGCAGACGAGATGCCTGGCAACCTTCACGTCTAACAGTTTTCCAAATCAGTGATTGGCAGAATTGTCCATAGCTACCTGAGGTTGTCAGGGAGTGGGAGGTTGCTTCAGTTTTATGAGCAGTGGTCTGGTGGGGGTTGTGGAATTTTAAACCGCTGGATAATCTGTTTTAGTTCCATTATAAGCGATCAACAGAGGTTTGTTCACACGATAATTTAGTACAATTGTAGTATTTTTGATTACTTTTATCGTCCCTAATCCCAATAATTAGACAAATGCTAACACTTGAGCCTCTCTAGATCCCCGGGTGCTTCTCACCTGTATATTTCGTCAATGTCTGTATAGTTAATATCTTTGCGTAAGCTTATAGAGCAAAACGTTCGGACTTTTTTTCCAATTAAATTTTCTAAATGGTAATCAAATTTGAGTCTGTAGGGACTAACTCCATTCGTCCCAGGAATAAACTCAAATTGGTTACTTTCTTAACACTTAGTTGCCATCGAGGGAGGTTCCTTGAAGCAGGCGAGGAGCTCTTGATCTAGGTAATTGGATCTGTGCTCCAATTCCCTGAATTAAGCCTGAATGCCTTTCATATATCCCCCAACCTTACAGGCGTTGTATAATCTCTACTGGGTTTATCGTTCCCAATGACAAATAGTTCCCCCTCTCAGCGCTTATAATAAATTTTGTAGTAATTTTGAATGGATTAAAAATGTTAGTTTTTTTTTCATTGAGGGAACTAGTGTTCGTTATTTACGGTCGGATCTTTTATGATCAGTAACACTGGGAGAGGTTAACAAGATAATTTTGTCAAGTTACGACCATTTCTTCCTCTATCTCATTATCTGCAAGTTAGCATGATTATTGGCAGGACTGAGTTTGAGGAGTCATGTTCAGCTATTTAGACTGACACATATTGCCTGCCTTCTGATGAACTTTCCAATCGTTGTTGCTAGGATACTTTAGTTACGGCAGGATTTGACTTCTACCGAAAGTATGGCAGTGTGCTCAATAAATACTGTACCATTATCGCCCATCCTTCGTATAATTGATTTCTGATTAAATATTCCACTCTTCAAATTTATATAAATCTTAGGTAAATCTAACTATTCTTGTATGCATAGTCTGTGTATAGACTAAATGCGTTCTTTTAATTGAGTTTACCTGGAGGGGACTTGCGGGGGTCAACGCCCCCTGCGGCCGATCAGTGACCAGGCCTGTACACACTTGCAGCACAGGCCTCATAAAGTAGCTCGTGTAGGTAAAACTACGCATTAAAATGTCTGTGCCACTTGGCTACGTATACTTAGTCTCTCCTAGTTTGAGTATTTTAATGTAATTATCTTACTGGATTGTAATACCTATTGCCTTGGCAGTAGACTAATTGAAACTTTAGAGCAGTCAATAATGGATACGATACTGCTGCTTCAGAAACCAAAGGTGTTGATCTTAACAGGCGTGATGTTATGGGCGGTGTGGGCGGTGGTGTGGGCGGCGGCAGCGTCTGCCCTTCCCTACCATGACATAGACTCCTCGAAAGTCTCCATCGACAGCTTATCTATAGAAGAGGTAAGATACAGAATTAAATGTGAAGTTTCCCTTTAAGTTTCCGTAGTTTTGTAACTTTTATTTAAAGAATTGTATTTTTATATTTGCAGTAACTGGGTATCTACCAGGTTATGGTTTTCTTCTTTCCTCTAAACTTCTGACTTACGGATCATTCATGAAAGCTTTTTATCCTGATAACTGTCATTTGACACTATTTTTCTCTAACTGAATTTTCCATTTGTAATGGTGTGTGAACTTTTGAATACCCCCCCCCTAGGGAGGTTCCTTGACACTGGTGAGGGGCTCTTGTTCTAGGGAATTGGATATATACTCTAGTTCCCTGAATTAAGCCTGAATACCTTCCACCCCCACAGGTGCTGTATAATCCTACGGGTTTAGCGCTTCCCATGATTATAATAACCCCCTATATCTTTTTATATTTTATTTAAAAAGTACATCACAGCACATAAAAAAAACCAGGCCTTATCCGTTAACAGATGTAATAAACTTTCCATAACCATATAATACCGCATAAAAATATAAAAATTATACATTATGCAACAAATAGTATCTAATGAAAACACAAACAATAACCAAATTAGGGAGAGTATTGATACATACTTCCGTACTAACTACATCAACAGTAAAACCAGATATTCTTTACTATGACTTAACGTCCATAAGGTACTAACTCAAAAGAGTACAGTATGTTTCATACCGTAACCTTGCAGACTAAACCCCCCCCCCACCCTAGACAGAACCCCCCTCTATCTGAGAAGTACAGCACAAAATTAGAACCACAAGAGTGCACAATAAATTAAGGTAACCCTAACACCTCTATAATGCTATCCAAAAGTATGAATCTTACAACACGTAAGAATATGAAGCATACACTACAATGGTACATTTATTCCTAAATCTTAAAATGGTGAAGGTTATAACTGCCTCATGGCTTACAAAACAAACTGCAAATGCAATAAGTACATTATGTAAATATGTAATAGCTTGATTTCTAACATTGGTTATAAAGAATTTCCTGTAGTCAAATTACAGTAACATCCTAAACAAACGGCAATCATTTTGAGTGCCTAACCTCACAGGAAGAATAATTAATTGCAAGCCCTCGCCATACATATTAATGTTATCCCTCTCCACATGATCTCAATGATATTACTCCCTCCCACCGCCCCTCCCATCTATACCTACCCCACTGGACATCCCCACATTGTTGCATATGCTAAGACCACAATGTGTTGTACGTACCATAACAGAACCGTAAGAACCATTGATACCATACCTGAGTTGTTGTACAATGGGAGGCAAATCCTATTTTGTTTGCTGTCCCATGCAGCGTTCCCAGACTTCTAATATATATTACTACAAAGGCCCTTCTTCAGAAGGCATTGACAAATATTAATTAACACAAAGAACGCCTGAACTTGGTTAGCACTCCCACGCACATCCCAATTACAAGCAATCATTCTCACTTGCACCTCTCCCTCACCACACACATGCACGCCAAACCACCTTCCTCCAACATCTTTCGTTTGGCAAGCCCGTTTGTTACCCTCCCTTTTATAGAACTCTCTACACGACAATCTGAACCCACTTCCCCTCCCCCCCTCACAACACTAGCAACTCCCCCACAGTGATAGGCCTGTAACCCTCAGTGAAATCTCCCTCCCATCTTCTCCCATAAAGTTCCCGATTCCTATTCCTTGTCCTACAAAAAGTCCTCGCTAAAACTTTTTTTCTCACCTCCCCATTACCCATCCCTCTCATTCCCCACGATATGTACACGAAATCCACCATTATATAAGACTCCCCGTGATACATTCTCCCCCCCCTATATCAAGGCTTAGTGCTCTCAACACAGACACCCCAGTTCCTCCTATCCTCCTGACCACTTTCCCCAGCCATTCCCTCACACTCCCCAAATAATCGCAAAAGTATACCATGTGGTGGCTCTCCAACTCCCACATAACCCACACCGAGCCTCCTCTACGACACGTCTATTTCTGAGGACTGATCCAGTAGGCAGAATCCTGTGTAAAAATTTGAACATTATCTCTCGTACCCTGGGCCCTAGCTCTAGTTTACCGAACAGACTCCATACAGGGCCCCATGCATACATCGGGAACAGCCCCTCAACTGGGGCCGGCTCCTCTACCCTCAATATTAGATATAAATCCCTCGCCTGTAATTTCTCTGGCTCACGCGCCCACAAAAGTGCCCAACAAAATTTCACTCCCTCCATTCTCCCCCCCCCCCCATACATTCCCCTCAAAATGTCATGCAACCTTTGCATGTGTGGCCCCCTCTGTCCCCCCAAGTCTTTTCCATTCCCACCTGATAAAAATGCATTTCACCCTCCTCCCCAGGTCCAACAAACCTAAACCTCCCTTCCTCGCCGGCAAAGTCACCACCTCCCTCTTCATCCATTCACATCCTGAGCCCCATAAGAACCTGAAAACACTTCCAAGGATATGAGTAATATCAGCTCTCGGCAACGGAAAAACTGCTGCTACATACCATGCCTTACTGTACAGCAATACATTAATAACAATCGCCCGTTGCAATAATGTTAAGTGAGAAGGCCGTAACATCCCCAACGGACGTTCCATGTGTCCCACCATTCTCTACGAATTCGCCTCCCTAGCCTCCCATATGGTCGCCCCATACAAAATGCCACATATTAATAACTGCCCTTCCTGCCTTCTCACCACATCAGTCCCAATCAACTCTCCACTCCCCCCGCCCCCATGATCTTTGTTTTTTCAACGTTTACCGTCATACCTGTCGCCCCTCCAAACATGCAAACCAGCTCTCTCAACCTTGTTCCCTTCCAGACTAGGAGTGTCGTGTCATCCACGTAACCTACCACATGCCTAATAAAGCCCTCCCTCTACCCCCCCCTACACACACTGATCTCTACCAACCTATAAAATGGATCTAGCACACATGCAAATAATAACTGTGATAGTGGGCAACCCTGCCTCAAGCCCCTATCCATGTTCACTACACCTCCCACACGTCCATTGATTTGAATTCTCGCTTTTGCCCCCTTATACAACGTTTCAACCCACCCCACAATCTCGTCCGCAAAACCTTGTTTGCTAAGGATCTGTCTTAAACCCTCCCTTTCCACCTTATAAGCACCCTGCCAATCAATTGCCACAATACCCCCTCCTTCCTGTGTTCCCTCAAAACTCTTGACAAACCCCTTTAGTATTCCGTGCCCCATTACCATCTACTGTCCCGGTAAGCCTAGTTGACCTCTTGAAACTACTCTTCCCTCTACACATTTTAACCTATTCCCCTGTAATCCTTAAGTGTACTCTGCACCTTACCCTTAGGCACAAGCACAACGACCCCTGTACTTGCATCTCGCCCAATTCTCCCCCATCTTTCATTCTATTGAACAGAGTTAATAAAAAACCACTTGAAAGATCCCAATTTTTTAAGTAAAATTCGCCTGGTAGTCCATCAGTACCTAGTGCTTTGCCCCTGCGCATGTCTACAAGCCCTCTCCATATCTCCTCTTCAATATCGCCACCCAAAACTTCCCTGTCCTTTCTCCCCAGAGCTACGGGCTCTACACCACACTCCATCAAGATCCTCCCTATTTACCCCTTTACTTTTCCAATATTGCCCATACCACTCGTCTGCGAACATACTCATCCCCTCCATTGTTTTTTTTTTTAACACCTGCTCCTCCCTAAAACCTTTCACCTCAGAGTGCACTTCCAAATCCGCTATCGTGGTGGCTGTCCTCTGTTGTTGTCTCCGCAACACATGCTGATGGTTTTTCCCCCGAAAGCACTTCCTCCACTCCCGCCTGCACCCTCACCGCATGAAATCTCTCCTCCTGCACCTCTTAGCCTTCTCTTCAGATCATCCATTGCCTCTGTTTGGAATACCCCTCCCACCACTCCTTGCTCATGATAGTATCCTATTCTACTTTCCAAATAATTTGTTAATCCATACTTCAGTTGATTTATACGCTTCCCCTCGCCCACGTAAAACCTACGAATCCTCTCCTTGGCCACACTGTCCCACCAACGTACCACATTATCAACCCCTTTTTGCCTCCTCACTTAGCTTCCTCCACAATAAAGCAAACCCCCCCCCTCCACTTCCTCATCCTCAAGGAGTCGCACGTTTAATTTCCAGCAGCTTTCAAACAGTTTCACTAACAAATCCCATGCCACCCCCACCACATCTGCCCTGTGATCTGAATAAATTGCTTCTATGGTGTTAAGACTCTACTGAAACCCCTTGCGTTATATAGATCCTATCCAGTCTAGCTGCGTATTCCCTCCTTACATACGTATGTTGCACTTCACCTATTCCACCCCAAAATGCATCTCGTACCCCAATATCTCTACACAAATCTCTCAACGTTTGAGAAATATCCTGCTCCCGCTGGCATCACATCAAATCTCCTTATGATACAATTCCAATCTCCCCCAGTCAATGCAACCCTGGTTAGCGCTCTCAAGAAATACACCAGATCATCCCTTACAAATGCCGACTTTTACCCTCTCATCGTTCTCCGCCGGAGCATACACTCCAACAAAACACATGCGTTCACGCATCCACCACCCGTCCACCCTCATTATTCTTCCCTCACCCCTCCCCTCAAACCGTTGCAAAACAAACTGACTTGCCTCACGAATTAAAACACCTACTCTGCCTTTTAAACGTGTTGGCATTACAGAAGCCCTATATCCATTCATCTCCAGCAATTTTCCAGCTTTTAAGTTATGCTCTTGTATAAAAGCAACATCTACCTTGTAACGATAAAGCAGTCCTCTCAACCATACACACTTACCACTATTACATAAACCATTAACGTTGTCATACACCTTAGGCCTGCTTACTTTTTAGACCCACGTTTTCCCCCCCCCTCATTTTTCCACTGTCCTGTAGCCCCATACACACCGTCCTTGGCGTACTCCCCACCCTCTCCACTCCTACCCCTTGCTGGCATTTTTTTTCTCTGCCTCTGCACACACCTTCAATCCCCGCCTTTTTCCCTGGTCTTTGTGCTGGAGTGAGGACGTCATCCGAGTCGGACGTGACTGCTGCCCGCTTCCTCGACACTTCCTCTTACACCATGCTTGTCTCCAGACCTTCCTCATTGTGCACCTCCACCTCGATCACCGCATTCCCCTTCTCACTACTTTGCAAAACCGACATTTCATTCCTTCCTCCAGGCCCGCATGCTTCCCCTTGTCCTGGTACCTGTTCTCCCATCTTTTCCTGTCAAGGTTTTCTCCGATTTAGGGAACATCTCCTGCAAAACTGTCTCAAGCACTACGTCAATTTCTACATTTGTTACGTCCTTGTCCGCCTTGTGCGTCACACCCTCTGCAGACGCACTCAATTGCTTCACAGCACCTTCATGCTCCACCTCACGTTGCCTTTCCTCCACTTCCTCACTCACAACCGACCACGCCTACGTCCATCCTGGCGGTTCTGATCAGTCACCTCAGATCCTCTCCTCGAAATGTCATTCCCTGGTCAGTCCTCCGCCTCGCGCATTCAGCCGCTATGTGATCATAACCACCACACAGTCTAAAAGTTCTATGTTGTCCAGCGTAAGTTAAAAGTATGTGTCCTGAATTCCTCTAAGAACACATACGAAGGTATTGGTTGCCTCAGTCATCTTCAGGCTAAAACTGCCTTCTGGATAACCCTCATAAGCCACTGCCGTCCACTTGCCTTGAGCTACGTGTATAGTTTCACTTTCCAAACACACTACGTTGGTCAGCTTCATTCGCCTCGAAAGGCACATTACGTAACTTAACATACGTAAATTGACGCGAAACATCGACCATCTTTACCAGGATGTCCTCATTAACCTTGATAGCAACATCCTGATAATGATCGAGTAGATCCTCATACACGAACATTCCGTAGCTTCCATTTAAGGCTACACCATAAAGGTCGCAATCCTCAATCCCATGTCTCTCGAATAATCAGAGGCAACAACGTCAACGCCGAATCTTGATTAATTGTACCTCTCGGTAATTCTATGCCAAGTGTTAATTCTGCGGCGCACCCCAACCACCATTGTGACAGCCTGGCTAGCACTTGCACCGGTCAGAGGTGTAGCAAACGTCCACCCTCGCCAGAAGCTTGGCGAGAAATGAATAACCCCCTATATTAGTTGTGAAAGTAATCTTCCTCTCCCCTACCCCTTGATTCCCATGTGACCGAGGGAGGAGGGGGGCGGGTGTTATGCAAGTTGTACCCCTCTGGTGCCTGGGACGACAGAAGGGGGAAGAGGTTAATGACTCTTCCAATTGTCATGTCAGTTATCTGCAGACCCAGGTAGTCACCTGCAAGAAGTCTAGACCCAATTTGTAAATTAAACTATACTGACACTAGCTACTAATTAACTCTCCCTCAGTATAGCAAGTGTCCTGTGACCCAGGATGAACCATCCAGTGTTGGCTAGGCTGAGTTTGTCCCCTGGGCCGCCAGTCTTGTGAAAGAATCGGTAAAGGACACATGGTCAGTTGTGCCTTTTGCCTAGGAACCTTGATTAGTTGCAGCTCCCAGAGCACATTGGTGAAAGACGACACTGGCACACCTACTCAAAACTTGTTCTATACTTTTAATAGTGGCTTGGATTTAGACTAGTCAGTTATATGAATGTGTAATGTAGTCAGAGGTAATAAAACATTCGGGAACTTACTAGCAAGCAGAAGTTGATTGGCATCCTGTCCTGACGTGACCAAAAACCCAAGACACCAGATATTTACTCCTGAGAGATGCAAATGAGGTACTTGTTCATTAACTTGCACAGGGAAAGTAGGTACTTGAAAAAAGTGGTGGTACTAGGTCTAGTGCGAGGTTAAAGCTCTGGAACCCTAGTCATTAAATGCTGTACTCTTTCCTCTTATGAAGTCCCAATTATCAGTGAAGGTGTGTACTGCCTCGTACATCCTGGTCTGAACCCAGCAACCGGTTATCAAGGACTCGTTTTGGCAAGTGCAATATCAAGAACCTAGTTAAGCTTTAATGTTACCAGTGGATTACTGCAGCAATTAAATCAGGGATACAAAAGATATGCATGAAATACTTTCTCTACACAGAATACAAAACTTGTGTAACGTTTATCATTACTGTAAATTTTCGCCTACACGGCAGGCTTCTGTGGTCAAATAGAGGAATAAATTGGAGACTGTAGAAGTGGCAAGGTAAACATGTGATCAATCAGCTCGTGAGAGTTAGGTGGTCAGTCCTTCAGCCTAGAGCAGAGTTCACCTCCATACTCTGGAGCCATCTCACCTGAAGAGCGTTACTGCCTCGCCTCGGTAGTATGCAAGACTTCATTCTTGTGATCCAACGTCGCATAGTTCCAGGATATGGAACTAGACTCTTCCAGGCTGAGGGACTGACCCCCTCCCCCCCCCCAAAAAAAAACTATTTCTCATGGGTTGATTGATCACATCTTTTCCTCGCCACTGCTGCTTTCTCCAGGTTATTCTCTTGACTGCAGAATCCTACTGCGTAGACGAAACTTTAAAACAATAGATAACGATCTATTGCTAACGCCTAGCTCCTGTCTGTATTCATTTTTATTATAGTAAACACACTTAACATGCCCGTCACCTCTTACTTTCTCTCGTCTCGGTCTTGGCCTAGGCCAGGATTGTCTGCCTTTCCTACAGGATGTTAGCTTCCTTCCCAGTAACTTATGATCTCGTCCTGCTTGATCTTGCCTTTTTTAGTTCCTGCAATATTTTATCATTTCCGTAGTAGTTTTAAGGCGTGGCCCACATGCCTGACTGATCATTAGTTGAATTTAGTCTATAGTGAATTAATGGTAGTGTAGATTATCCTGAAGTACTCTCCACATCAGTTTAATTTCTAACCTGCTGTGTACGTTCCCGATACTGTGGCTAGCGTGGAATTCCACTAAAGGACACGAATGGGTTTACCAACTCCAGCTAATGCCCATGATTGTCTAACTTAAACTTTGGTAAACTTTATCACTCTCCCTACAGCTTGACTACGAATTCCAAACTCGTCTGGAGGCTCTACAAGCCTACATAGAACGGAAGTACGAGGAACATTTAAGCGAACACCAGATTAATTTGCAGAGATTAAGCAGATCACGTCGTCACGTCACTGTGTCCTCTGCACACCCTTCTCAGCACGTCACTGCTGCAGTACCTTCCCTGGCACCAGGCTACTGGCACTCCTACACGTACAACACCATAGTTGAGAGGGAGAGTAAGTGAATATTTAACCACTCTCATCTTCCCTAAATCACAGCTGTGACAAGATTTTGGCGAGACTTAAATTTAATTTATAATAACGTTAACTTAGATTAAGAATTTTCACGTATTTAATGTGACTTGACTATAGTAGTGTTAAATTTTTTAAGGTATACTAAGGTACAGTGACTTTAATTTTTATTAATATTACTTCCTTTCTTTGATTTTCGTAGTTTTTGTTCATTCCATGCTGGTACATCCTATATAAAAGAACGCTCTGGTTAACGGAGGCATGTAGGTTCCCAACCACTAACTGGTACCTAGAATATTGGTAAATAAATTTGATACCTGCTCCTTCCAACACCACCCACCAATCAACCTGGTTTGGCTTTACCAGGTGGATTGGCTGTTATCGCCTGTAGTGGCATCACCTTCTGCAGAAAGGCCTTGACATGAAAAACTTGTTGCTGCTATCTGCGTTAGTCTTGCATGGCCTCGTGATATCTTCGTTACCCTCCCCCCCACCCCCACCCCACCAGATAGTCCAGGACGCCGTGGGAGCAGAGGTCTTGAAACGGTAAATTTTGACAGTGGGATAAAGTTAAGCAGGTTTTTGGCCTCGCTTGACTAAACAGGCTAATCTTTGTCTAGGGCCAACCAATCGACTGTGCACTGGCACCTTTTTTGTATTATGGCTGCCGTTTAGCTAGCTGGTCACTCCCTTGCGCCTCTAAATTAGCCCTGTCTTTTAATACACAGGTTGTCTTGTTGGCTGTGTGGGGAATCTCTTGATATTCCACGCCAATCCTCTAGGTCTAAGAGCAAGAAGTGTACCAGCATAAGATACTTCTCGCTCTCCTAATTAGTTTCCAGTACTGGAAACTAATTACTGTATTAAAGGCCCACGAATCTCAACATTTTTAAGCTTCCATCCCGGGATAAATCAATCGAGAAATATTAGCTCGTCTTTTCTTGGAGCTGATAAACAAACTCCTTTTTAGTCTACCATCGGCGTTTACCTAAATTAGACCCTAGCCC